CCCCAAAACCCCAAAACCCCAAAACCCCAAAACCCCAAATTTGTGAGTGATATTGACCAGATTTTTAGGGTTGGATAGGTTAGATAAATATTGAGAGGCTTTTTAGGCAGGAGACTTTTTTGACTGAGGCTCGATTTAAAATTTTAGGTTTGGGTTTGATGCTTGGAGTGGCGTTGCTTTGGTTTAGGGTACGTTTAAATTGTCTTCTTCTTCTTGATAGGTTTGAGTTAGTGTTCTCTGTATGGGTTCTTTTGGAAATTTACCTTTTTCAAGCCGGTTGGTATTTCAGATATTTGATGCAGTCATTGGGGCTTTAAAGAGCAGATTCTTACCGCCAATATCTCTTCTTGAGATATTACCGACAGAATTATTACTATGTCTTTGGCCTTTGGCTGTCATTGGAGCTTTTAAGTGAATTTGAGGGTTTGCTAGATTATTATTTTCGAACTTTACCAATCTCATCTGCATGATTCGTGATAGTAAAGTTAGTCTGATACTTCTGAACTCATCCAGAATGAATACTCTGGGCAAGTATTCTATTTTTATTTTCGTTGAATCTTAATTTCCTTGTTTGATTTAGAAGTTTTCTTTACAAAGGTAATGAGTTTGTTTGGAATTATAGTGTTTTGCACATCTATAGATTCATTTTGAATCGTCTGCAAGTCCTTTGATCTTCAACCTTTCTTGCTCTTCGATCGAGCAGTGTAATCCTCTGGGTTAGGTCTTCTTATACTTCTAAACTTTCTATAGCTAGTAGAGAGAATTACTGAACACTGTTTTGAAACTGGTCTATCGATATCCCTTTAAACGTTTCATTGCCATTATTGGTAGTACAATCTTTTTTAGATTTATTCTGAGTCAATCTATCTTTCAAAACAAGACCAATAGAATCACAATTAGCTAGATTATATTTTCTTTGAAAATTGATATTTTTCATATTCGAAACCTTTTTGAATAATTCTTGGTCTCCAAAATCCTTCAAAAGTTCATACTTCGCTGCTTCCTCTTCATCTAGGCACAGATCTCGATTATTCGGCTCTAGTCTAGTCACAGGAGTTTTATTTCTGAGATATCCCACTGTAGTTCTCCTTTCCTTCAGCCCTGAAGAGAGTTCTTCTACTGAGAAATACTCTCTGAGGTCCTTAAGCGCTGCTGAATACTTTGGTGGCTGGTACTTATGTGTCTCTAGTGCTGACATCTTCGTATAAATCTTTTCGAAATGTTTTCCGAATTTTTCCTCTGGAATTCCTTCTATACAGACTATAAACTGGCTTTGAAACTCGAAGTAGGCTTACCACTAGGAACATGGCTGGGTGAAGTAAGAGTGCAGTATACCATGTGCTGTAATAGGAACAGCATGTTGTACGTAGCTTTGTTATAGGCTGTTTCTTGGCACCGAGTGCCAAAGCCATTGTAAACAGACATTTTTAAGGGTTTAAATTTTGAAAATTTTTAGGGGTTTTGGGGTTTTGGGGTTTTGGGGTTTTGGGGTTTTGGGG